TAGAGGGCGACAACGTCCTCTGCTGCCCGCAGATAAACGGAGAAGGAAGTGACGCGCCACCATCAGCGTCAGCCTGAAGAAGCCGGCAGCTGTCGGCGAAACCGTAGCTACAAACAGGTAAACAAAACTGTTTCTGTGTTTAAAAAAGAACGAAAGCATGGATTTACAAAGACACAGCAAGAACACACCTAAGAGGTGGCAATGGAAGCTAACATATCAAGCTAACGTTATCTTTAACAATTTATTTAACTGCTGGAGCAGATTAAAACGATGATGCCTCACACTTAGATCGTTGTCGCTGGTTTCATCTTCACCCAATCACCCGTCGCATTTAGTAAAGTGAAGCCAAACTTTAGAGCGCGTTCATGTTCTTCTTGGCGGAAATTCTGAGTTCCGAGGAGAAAGCGAACGCACCATTTGCGAAACGGAAGCTAACATATCAAGGTAACGTTATCTTAAACTTTTTTTTTACCTACCGGAGCAGATTAAGATGAGGATGTCTCACTTAGATTGTTGTCGCTGGTTTCATCATCACCCAGTTACCCATCACATTTAGTGAAGTGGACCCAAGCGTTAGCGTGGGTTCTTTCTACCCATGCTGCTCTGTTTACAACTCGCTCGCTGGGACCGACGACATAACGCTCTTGCGCATGTGCAGCTGTCTTGGCAAGTTCTCGTTATGAAGGACGGGTACCGAAACGAGGCACCGTTTGAAATGACGTGAATCAGTGCTCGGTCGGTACTATGGAATTCGGTCGGTACCTTAAAAGGTACCAAATTCGGTACCCATCCCTATTTACAATATTAGTAAACTTTACATAACTAGGTAACTTTACAGAACAGTGGTTTACAATAACCTCTCTTTCAAACTGGCACAGGTTTTAGTTTTATACGCACAGGTTGTTAATGGGATTGCTATATTATATATATGCAATGTCAGTCTTGTGTTTGTGTTCGTGTGGGGAGTGGAGTGGAGGCATGGTTTTAAGGGTTTAACACTTTTTTTCTACATGTTGTTTTCACACAGTGGCTTGTTGTTTGAGGCTTAATTTCTGCTCTGTATTTCTGTCAGAATGTCATTTATAGTGCAGTCAGGGAGCAAGAGACAGGTTACCACAGCAACTCTAATGAGTCACTTTAACTGCTGTAACATTTCTATTTATCTTACTTCTTGTCACTGTTCTTATCTAGCTCATATTTCAGACAAACACTGTCTGGATTTATATTGGGAAATTTCATTTGTATCTAGAAAAGTTTAGTTTATAATACAATTGGATAAGGTTGCAAATCAAAATAATCAATAAAGAAAATAAGACAAATCACAACATTCACTTCTGCAGCTAAACGACTGGTCTGAGCAACAGAGCTGCCTTCCACAAACGTATGGTCCTGGTGTATTTTCTGTATCGATCTCTGTAAGTGGATGTGTTTGTGTTGACAGGATGCAGGTTTCCCAGCAGACCTCTTCTTTATTTAAAATGCAGCGCAGTTAGATGAATGTATGATTATGTCTGTAGCTTAGACCCAGGCAGAGGCTCTCTCTCCCACTGACAAATGCATCATCATATTTGTGAAACTAAACTCAAACTTTCACCTATGAACCTTCAGACTTTGTATTTCTAGCTGCATCATGTTTCTATCAAACCTCAGATCAGCCTCATCATTGTGTACAGTTTAGTTGGAACTTTTAGAACATGCTGTCAGGGTATTGGCTCATGCTTGATGAATACGTCAAAACTTAGTTTTACTAAAACAGAAATTTTAGTTGTTAAAACCCAGGTCACACTTTCACGTCCCTGCTGTTTGGCACAATGAAGCACGTGTATGGAAGAAAATAACATCACAATCCCTTTATGTGTCTCATACTCTAGTATAATGTAAGTAATCTAACCCCAAAACACAAATGATCTGTTTGAGGAATTTCAGTCTGGTTTTAGAGAGTATCACAGCACTGAAACTGCATTAGTGAGAATTACAAATGATATTCTTATGGTCTCAGATAAGAATCTTGTGTCTGTTCTAGTCTTGTTAGATCTCAGTGCTGCCTTTGACACAGTAGATCAAAATGTTCTTGTGGAAAGACTTGAACATGTTGTAGGAAAAGTAACAGCGCTAGGCTGGTTTAAATCCTACCTGCCTGATAGATTTCATTTTGTAAATGTACATGACAAATCTTCTTCATACTCCAGGGTTACTTGTGGAGTACCACAGGGTTCAGTGCTTGGACCAATTCTTTTTACTATATATATGCTCCCAATTGGTAAAATCATTAGACAGCATGGGATAAACTTTCACTGTTATGCTGACGATACTCAGTTATATTTATCCATTAACCCTGATGAACCTAATCAGTTAGGTAGATTACAGGCTTGTCTTGAGGACATAAAAAAATGGATGACTCTAAACTTTTTGCTTTTTAAATCAAGACAAGACGGAAGTTCTCATCTTTGGACCAGAAATCCAGAAAAGGAAATTGCTTAGTCAGTCACCTGACCTGAATGGCATTACATTAATCTCTGAGAACAAAGTATGGAACCTTGGTGTTATCTTTGACCAAGACATGTCATTCAAATCCCAAGTTAAACGGGTTTGTAGGATTTCCTTTTTCCACCTTCGAAATATTGCTAAGATTAGAAGCATCCTTTCCAGAAGTGATGCTGAAAAACTAGTTCATGCGTTTATTACATCAAGACTGGATTACTGTAATTCATTACTCTCAGGAAGTCCACAGAATGTAGTTAAAAGTCTTCAGCTTGTCCAAAATGCTGCAGCTAGAGTTCTGATGAGAATTACAAAGAGAGATCATATCTCTCCTGTCTTAGCTTCCCTACATTGGCTACCTGTTAAATTCAGAATAGATTTTAAGATCCTCCTTCTCACATATAAAGCTCTTAATAATCAAGCTCCATCATACATCAGTGATCTGATTGTTCCATACGTTCCTAACTGAGCACTTCGCTCTCAGACTGCAGGTTTTTTGGTGGTTCCCAGAATATCTAAAATTAGGATGGGAGGCAGATCTTTTAGTTATCAGGCTCATCTCCTGTGGAACCAGCTCCCAGTCTTAGTCCGTGAGGCAGACACTTTGTCTACTTTTAAGACTAGGCTTAAAACATTTTTATTTGATAGGGTTTATGGTTAAAATCTGATGTTAGCCTAGATCTGGACAAGTGGGGGAGTACAGGGAGGTGGAGTGTACAGTCGGTAGACTCCAACATGCCTCCATCTAAAAAGGATAGATTATCCAGAGTTATCTCTGTAGTTATGCTGCTATAGGCTTAGACTGCTGGAGGATACACTGACCACTTTTCACACTCTACTACTTTCTTCTACAATCTGCTCTTTAACTGTATTATTTTCTGTGATTTCAGCCGTTAACTTTATTTTTTCTCCAAGTATTTTTCTCCCCAGAAGAAGCTACGGTGATGTTCTGCTGAGCTGTGTTGGCCTCATGGAGGGGACCATCGTCTAGCACACCGCTACTAACCACTTAAACATTCTCCCTCTCCTGATAACTTTTTCTTTCCTTGACGTTGGATGTGCTACTGCTAGTTTATCCGTTTAATTATAGATTCACTAGGATAAATACAATAAAGTTTATCTCTCACATAATAGAATATTTACTATGAAATCACAATGTAACCATAGACACATTGCTTGGTGTGTGTGTGTGTGTGTGTGTGTGTGTGTGTGTGTGTGTGTGTGTGTGTGTGTGTGTGTGTGTGTGTGTGTGTGTGTGTGTGTGTGTGTGTGTGTGTGTGTGTGTGTGTGTGTGTGTGTGTGTGTGTGTGCTCTGCCTTCTCGATCCCCAGTGAATCGTGGAGGATGGCTGCTTATACTGAGCCAGGATCCTCTGGAGGTTTCTTCCTTTTAAAAGGGAGTTTTCCTCTCCACTATCGCTAAATGCTTGCTTAGTATGAGGATTGCTGTAAAGTCACTGACACTAGTCAGTGACTTGATGCAATTTGCCGGGTTCCTTAGATAGGAAACATTATTTCTGATTGGCTTAATGAACTGACCTGAACTGGAATGTTTATTATGTGAAGTGCCTTGAGATGACTCTTGTCATGATTTGGCGCCATATAAATAAACTTGAATTGAATTGAATTGAAATGTATATGAAGTTATGGGATTGCAGTTGTTGGAGTGAAGGTTGAGTTGTAACAGCTCCAAAAGCACCTGAAAGGCGTTGGTTCATTTTGTGTCCACAGCAGCAGCTATGAGACAAACTTGGCTTTGCTCTTGGTTAATGTTCATTCTTTTGCAAACATGTTAATGGTGGGATGAGGAAATGCTGTTTGTTGTGATGTTCATGCAACCAACACGTAACAGTGTTCTTATATTGGGTAACTACACATTACATTACTCAACAGTGTACAGCAGAAGCTTTCTTCAGGTTTCTTCACACTAACCAGAGCTCTCGAGTTTCTTTAGCGAGAGAAAACGTTGGGGTGCTGTAGCACTGAGTTATTCTGTTATCTGACTGGATTGATTTGATTACTGAAATAAAAAAATATATTACCTTCAGTGATTTTTGCTGTAATTAGTTCAGGCTTTATGAATGATGCTCACTAGTCTGCTTTTATGTCAGTCAGGATTTGCGGTTTTATTTATTTGACCTTTGTTTAACCAGGATACAGTTTTACCAATCTTGTCATTGCAGTCGAGGGCTGCACAGATTCCCTCAGAGGGCCACTAATGTCCTGTAGGCTGCACACACAGCCCTTATCTATGGCATTTCAGGGTTTAATTGAAAGTGTTGTACCTCGGGTTTCAGTACCGTTTCTCTGTTGTAGCTGTTTCTGCTCTGCCAGATTTGAACGTGCGAGAGACAAAATATGAAAACGATTAATTAGCTCAACGGCAGTGTGGTTGCAATTTCTTGTTATTGATACCCTAACTGCACCAGAGACTGTGGTGTGGAAATAGCTTATCTACATTACGACACAAACTCAAAAACTCAGTCACTCTGTAGTTAACGCATCTGTCTCTCCTGACAGGCATTTGGTGCATCGTGCTCCACGAGGGTCCCCGCTGAGCCGGATGCCTCCAGCACAGGGATGTACAGGCTGGAGATTGAGCTGAAGAGAGGACATGACCTGGCCATCAGAGACAGAGGAGGTGCATCAACATCTGTCTGTAACATCGTCTCCATCCTCTCTTTGTGGATCTATAGCAGCTACTCTTGTCCCTTCAGGCACCAGTGATCCATACGTCAAATTCAAGCTGGGGGGTAAGGAGGTGTTCAGAAGTAAAACCATCCACAAAAACCTGAACCCCGTGTGGGATGAGAAGATTACTCTAATAGTTGAAAGTCTGAGTGAACCTCTGTATGTAAAGGTACAAAGACACACACACGCATACACACAGTTTTATCTGCTATCACAAAGCTTCTGGGTCAGAGGAGCCCTTCTGTTTCTCTCCTGCAGGTGTTTGATTATGACTTCGGTCTTCAGGATGACTTCATGGGTTCCGCCTTCATATACCTGGAGTCGCTGGAGCAGCAAAGGTTTGTCAGATGCTTCTGGTACTGCTGAAATAACAGAATACTTTCTTATTAAGGTAGCTGCCCTCAACAGTCCAAATAAAACAAAGAGAGTCTCGACAGGTGCCCGCCTTTTATTTCCTTTCTGGTTGTCACACGACAGAACTCAGGCGTCGTTATGCACCGTGAAAACTTGGAAAAAATACACAAATAAACAACACATGGCATGATAATCAGTGACCAGTTAGTTAACAAACACATTTTCTTCATACCTCACTTCTCTTGCCAAGGGTGCTAATTAGTGATGTAATGAAGAGACTTAAAAAAGCAGTTTCAGCCTGAGTCACAACAGTGAATAGTCATTATTTACATGTTTTCATTTAGCATCAATTAAACAAAATATAACATACAAAATTAAATAACTTACCACTTGTTATTGTTACAGAGACCCACAGCTTCTCTGTGTTTCACCCATCAGTGTTTCATCCATCAATACAATCAAACAAAACAGCAAGGCCTTTCTTAACAGGTCAGGTACTGCACACCTGTGCCAGATTAGTAAAACAAAAAACCCAAAGGGAGCAGTACCACAGTGTGCTCTACTGGGCTTAAACGAACAGTACCTCCAACCGTTACAATTAGCTTTTGGAAGTAACATGTTTTTACATCTCTGTGTGTTTTTGGTCTACTATAAGTTGTTGCACATGTCTTGTATGATGGCATATTAAGTAATGTTAAGTAAGAAGCTGGAGAACAAACTACAGAGGAACAATATCAGAGATGTCTGGTCAGGGATGAAGAAGATCACAGGCTTCAAGCAGAGAAAGAATTGCACAGATGGAAGCCTGGACACAGCCAATCAGACATCCCATCCAGAGGCGGTTTTACCATTAGGCAAAGGTAGGCGGCCGCCTGGGGCCCCCTAGTGGTGGGGGGCCTCCTAGCCATAGGCGTTATTTTAACCGGGGACGCCGGGGACATGTCCCCGGCAAAATTTATAATTGGCAGCTGTGTCCCCCCCCCCCACTTTCAAAAAAGCCTGCTGATGAGGATTTTTGTTTTACCAGCTCAGATCGGGTCGGCAACCTGTTCCCATCAAAGAGCCATTATTACCCGTTTCCCACAGTAAAGAAAACACTGGGAGCCGCAGCAGCGCAGCATTGTGGGCGGGGCCTACCCTCAGACAGCATGAGAGCTGCTCATAACAGGTGACAGCAGCCGGTACCATGGGCGTCGCACCCGTGGGGGATGCAACACCCACACTTTTCCAGCTGTTTTGCTCACCTCCACACCAGTCTGGTTTCTTTAGGTCGCACTCACTCTGTTTGCCTCATCTCCTTCTTCACCTCCCCTATTCTGACAGCCGATGTCGGGTTCAAGGAGAGCAGGAGATGGAGGGACGGAAGAGCTCGACTGAATTCATAATTTTACATCTTGACATTAGCTGTACAAAGTCTGAGTTTGATCAAGTGAAGAACACCAATCTGCAGAGGTTTATAACAGGCACGGCGCCAGGTTTTCATTTTTGGGTGGGCCACGGTAATTTTGGACGGACCTTAATAAGCAGTGACTTAGTGAATCAGGCAGGTCGCGCTAGAAAATTTAGTTTAAAAAGACGTCATAAATGTGTTCCCCCGTCATTTTTATTTCTAAAATATGAAGTAAAAACTCACAATTTAATTTTCATTCATTTGTCATTAATATGTAGTCTACACCCATGCGTTAAGTGGACCATCTTCCAGTAAAAGCAAAGCATCCGGCCCACCTCTCCAAATGCGTAAAATGTGCATCACAGCCACTAGGCGCACCGCGCGCACCGTCAGCTGTCAGCCCAGACAAGAGCAGAGCAAATAGAGAAAGAATAGAGGATAATTGTGTCTGGATGTGGATGAGATTACATTTTACAGCAGTCTGATCATCATTTAAATACGTAAACCATCACCTGTCTTCTAGTCCACGCTATCAGCATTATTTTAATTGGTGTGTGTGTGTGTGTGTGTGTGTGTGTGTGTGTGTGTGTGTGTGTGTGTGTGTGTGTGTGTGTGTGTGTGTGTGTGTGTGTGTGTGTGTGTGTTTTCCACTTCAAACACTGGTCTAACCAACCAGACCAGCGTGTCCAGTAACACATTAATGTTACAATTAAACAGTTTCACTTCATGTAGGCTAGGAACATTTCACCTGCCGTAGCCCGACCGCTTCTGCTCCACATAAACTTTGTGCGTGATCAAATGTCTCTACAGGTGCTTTCTGAGCTGAAGAGGCGACTGGATGCGTCATGCGTCTCCATATTGGAGACGGGAACAAACGCTATTCAGCCAAACTCATAATTTCATAAAAATAAAATTTTTCCAAGTGACAGATCCCTCAGAGAGACCGGGTTTCCAGACCGCTTCAGTGGGAGGAAATCAACCAACATCCTTGAGTTTATCCGTCAAAATAAACAGTCAAATGGAAATATCTGTAACCTGTCATTTAACTCTTTTGCCTTCTTGTGAAGATTGTTGCAAAGAGAAACAACTAAACTTGATTAACCCCAGAGCCACGCACACTGCGCTGTACTGACTGTAAATGAGGGGAAAACGATTTAATGGGATCCTTTTCTTTTCAACATGGTTTAATGTAAAGTTTCATTCAGTACAAACTTTAGTTACACCAATGAGAAAGAGTCTGGATTTGTATTCTGAACAGTTTAAACATGTTTAAAACGGAGACATGCGTGACGCGTCTAAAATTCGCACCTGCTCCGCTATTATGGAAATTAAAATAAGATGAACATGAAATTATTTTAGGCACAGACAACATCCCCCACACTTTTGAAAAGCTTGCAACGCGCCTGGTCGCTCGTGTACGTCAAAGTTGTCTTTCATAAAAAGATAATCAATAAAACGATTAAATAAAATGGATCCAGAAGCTGTAGCCCGTCTCTGCCTCAATATTCACACTGTTGGTGGTTTTACTGAGCAGGTGCCACTTTTGTCATACGTTTCTTTTTAAAACATGTTTAGACTGTTCAGAATACAAATCCAGGCTCTGTCACGTTTGATTGTTGTAATTAAACTTTGTAGGTGGGGAAGGTCAGAAAGCAGCTCAGAAGCGCATGATTACGCACAAGCGTGACGCGTCCGGGTTGGACCTGTTCAGGTTTACGCAGACAATCTTTACATTTAGAATTGGCATACAGATGTAAAATTAATGCAGTAAAATATAAAGCATTTTATTTAAATATCCATTCATTATTTTACAAGCACAGGGAGCGCATCAGATGGATGGAGGAGCCGCATGCGGCTCCAGAGCCGCGGGTTGCCGCCCCCTGTGCTAGCCTACTTTATTGTCCCCAGCAATTTTTAAGCCCCACTCAAGTGTATGGTTATTGTCCCCAGCAATTCTGAAAACAAACTGACGCCTGACCGCCGGCACCCCTCTGTTAATGCCACAATATTCTTATTACCAACCTGTGGCCGCAGACGGGATTGGACATGCGCACTTCTCATTACCATAATTCCTGAACCATTCAAGATATCATTAAAATTCCAAAAGTGCTGAAAAGATTAAAAATGGGGTTTTTCGTGCATATACAATACATTACGGTAGCCACCGGGATTCCCGGTCTTGAGCGCACCGAATCACAACAAAGATTCAGAGACGTGCTGAGTTTGTCATCCAAAATACTCCGTTTTATAACTTTTGAACGGCTGATCAGATTCAAATAATTCCAACGGTTCCTAAAAGTACATAAAAGCAGCTTTCCAACGATCTATAGCATGAAGCAATCAGAGTTAGGGAAAATGTCGCTACGAGGGGAAATCCTGCTGTACAGCCTGATTGAAACGGAGCACAGCGCGGTGGAAGCGGATAACGGAACGGGGAAGCTAATTAGCATAAAAACCAGCATAAAATTATGGGAATGCCTCAAAGAAAATCAACACGATCTATTAGGTGTCCCAGAAGGCTTATATCTGAAGTCAGTGACCACGAAGAAGGACAGATCTCCAGTGAACCAGGATATGAATGTTTGTTCAGTCTTTATTTATTTATTTTTTTTTATTTGAACAACCCTCAACTATTTGCTAATTGTAAGATTCAGCTTAATTCCAGCATTATTTATCCTTTTACAATAAATTATTATTTTTGCTAAAACAAAAGTTTCTGTTCCCAGTGAGGGTTGGACTCCGCCAGGGCTGCCCTTTGTCACCAGTTCTGTTCATCACTTTTATGGACAGAATTTCTAGACGCAGCCGTGGTGTGGAGTGTGTCGAGTTTGGTGGCAGGAGAATCTCGTCTCTGCTTTTTGCGGATGATGTGGTCCTCCTAGCTTCATCCAGCTCTGACCTTCAGCTCTTGCTGGGTAGGTTCGCGGCCGAATGTGAAGCGGCTGGGATGAGGATCAGCACCTCCAAATCTGAGACCATGGTTCTCGACCGGAAAAGGGTGGCTTGCCACCTCCGGGTCGGGGGAGAGGCCCTACCTCAAGTGGAGGAGTTTAAGTATCTCGGGGTCTTGTTCACGAGTGAGGGTAGGAGGGATCGGGAGATCGACAGGCGGATTGGTTCGGCGTCTGCAGTGATGCGGACGCTGAGCCGATCTGTCGTGGGGAAGAGGGAGCTGAGCCAGAAAGCCAGGCTCTCGATTTACCGGTCGATCTACGTCCCAATCCTCACCTATGGTCATGAGCTTTGGGTAATGACCGAAAGAACGAGATCGCGGATACAAGCGGCCGAAATGAGTTTCCTCCGTAGGGTGGCCGGGCTCAGCCTTAGAGATAGGGTGAGGAGCTCGGACATTCGGGAGGGACTCGGAGTAGAACCGCTGCTCCTCCGGATCGAAAGGAGCCAGTTGAGGTGGTTTGGGCATCTGGTCAGGATGCCTCCTGGACGCCTCCCCGGGGAGGTGTTTCGGGCATGTCCTGCCGGCAGAAGGCCCCCGGGTCGACCCAGGACACGTTGGAGAGGTTACATCTCCAATCTGGTCCGGGAACGCCTTGGGGTCCTGCCGGAGGAGCTGGTGGACAAGGCCGGGGAGAGGACGGCCTGGAGCTCCCTAATTGGGATGCTGCCCCCGCGACCCGGACCCGGATAAGCGGAGGAAGACGAAGACGAAGACAAAAGTTTCTGGTATATCAGTGCACGGTGTGCAAGAGAAGCACCCCAGTGTGAGGTGTGACTCTGCCTGCAGCTGAAGAGAAACTGCTTCAAGGTCTACCACATCAAATAAAAACGTCTGAAAGTTAACAATACTAAATGGTCTTAAAAACAGCAAAAAAAGATACCAAGGTTCACACTTTTTAAAGAATAGATGCATTTCAGTTCAAAGTTTAAATTGTTTGCCCAGTAATTTTGAAGTTCCTGTTCAGTAAGAAATGTAAAAAATTCAAATCCGTTTTTTGCTTTTTTCACTTTGAAGCTGATTTTTTAAAGGCTTTAATAGAAATAAATTCTAAATACAAACCATACACTAAAAGCTGAGGTTGTTCTCAAAAAGGAGAGAGTTACACACACTTTGTACTTTTTATTACAATTTTACAGCCATAAGATTAAAAACATACCAGGCGGCCCCGTTTATAATTATGGTCATAAGAGGGTTATTAAGACGGCGATGCACAAACAGGAAGTGATTGGTAGTCATTCCACTCCAATCCAGTTGGTGGCGGTAATGCACCAAATTGTTGTTTGCCAAGTGCCATGAGACCACAAACAAGAAGAATAAGAGAGGTGGGAGCGTTCGTAACAAACTCAAAGCAATAGTAAAACATGAAGCATGACATGGAGTTATCCTAGTGGCTCCAATAAGAGAAAGAAGCAGCATGCTTCATAAAAGCTTTTATTTTCACTTCTGAAAGTGACGTCGTTTCTCGATGTAAACATCAAAAGGAGGCAGAAAGGAAAGACAATGGAAAATGTTTAAAGGGAGGAAAACATAGACCAAAATGGAAAATAGAAATAAAATAACAAAGGCAAAAGCAGGAGCACTGACAGGAAGAAGAAAGCACTCAAAGGGAGAGAAAAACAGGAAAAAAGAGGAGGACTAATAAAAAGTGAAAATAAATCGTGTCAGAAGAGGGTAGATTTTCGCAAATCCAGTTAAAGGTAAGATTGTCGAAAATTTAGTGTAAGGGGCCCCATGTCTGTGTTCGCCTTGGGCCCCCAAATTGCTAAATCCGCCCCTGATCCCATCCTCCTCTGATCGAACATTTTCCTGTCACACGCCAGCTCTTTTGTCTTATAACGCAGTCATGGCCTCTTCTGGTTTTATAAATCTGTCTTCAATCAAGTCAGGAGATGCTGCTGCCCCATTTACCTCCCCCTCCCACCTATCTGTCTCTAGAAGTCAGGTGAAGAGGCAGCTGGAGAGACTGAATAGGAACAAGGCTGCAGGTCCAGATGGTGTCAGCCCCAGAAGGCCTGTGCAGAGCAGCTCTGTGGGATTCTGCAGCACCTCTTCAATCTCAGCCTGGCCCAGGAGAAGGTTCCAGTCCTGTGGAAGACATCCTGCCTTGTTTCAGTTCCAAAGAAAACTCGCCCATCAGTCAATGACAACTACAGACCGGTTGCCCTGACATCCCACATCATGAAGGTCCTGGAGAGACTCCTGTTGGTCCACCTGAATAAGCAAACTGGGACATATCAGGACCCGCTGCAGTTTGCTTATCGCCATGGAGTTGGAGTTGAAGATGCCATAATCCAGCTGCTTCCACCAACCCACTGTCATCTGGACAAAGCAGGCAGCACTGTCAGGGTCATGTTCTTTGATTTCTCCAGTGCATTTAACACAATACAGCCTGATGTACTTTGCCAGAAACTCCAGAAGACACAGGTGGGGGGCTCAACTATCGCTTGGATTAAAGACTACCTGACAAACAGACTAGTTTGTGAGGCTGAAGAACTGCACATCAAACCAGGCGATCACTAACATTGGAGCACCACAGGGGACTGTACTCTCACCATTCCTTTTCACCTGTACACCTCAGACTTCCAGTACAAATCAGAGACCTGTCACCCACAGTAATACTCAGATGACTGCAGTTGTCGGGTGTATCAGAGATGGACAGGAAGCTGAGTACAAAGAGCTGGTGGAGCGCTTTGTGGCATGTGGCATTTCTCTGCCAGGGCAACGGGGCACCTTTTCTGGCAGGTCTGACTATCATTGCTGTGACGTCTCTGATTGACAAAAGTTTATTTATTTCAGCTTGTAAACACAAATCCGCTCAAGGAGCAATAACCGGCAGAGAGCGAGTTTTCAATGAGCTGGAACTGCTTGATCTGGAGGAACAAAAACTTTTGTTTCAAAGAAATCAATAGGAGCGAAGGAGACATTGATGTTGTTGGGCCGACCAATCACAGACATGGGCTCGTCATTGTGGTTGGTGACTAGTTAAAAATGTATCTCTTTTCTGTCCATCCTTGTGTGCCTGTCAGAGAAGAGACAGTTGCATGTCTTCATACCTTTGCTGACAGAGACGTATAAACTAGGCATAAAAGTTGTTGTGACTTATAATAAGTACAACTTTAATTTTGGTGTGTTTGTGAAAAAATATGACTGTGAATGAAAAAAGTTCCAAATTCTGCACTGATTTATGAGCATTTATGACAGAAGAAACGGTAAAAATATTTAATACAACAAATTGGATTCTAACATTTAGGGTAAGCATAGAAGGGATACCATTTTTTAATTATAATAATAATAATAATAATCAAACGTCTGAATTCATGATCAAATTCTTTAAGATCATGAGTATCATTTCATATCTGACTTTGGATCACAAATCTGTCCTCTGCAGAACAATACCTGTGACCCTGGAGCTGAAGGACCCTCAGCACCAGCATCAGAACCTTGGTTCTCTGGAGTTGGCCATCACTCTGACTCCGAAGAACAGCCCCATCGAGGAACAGAGAGACACAACTGTAAGTCTGATTTCTCTTAGCTGGAGATGTGGAAGATATTGCTGCCAGCCAGTGATTATTGGTGTCCATTGTTTGAAGAATTAAAACGTTTGGTCGTATTGCCTCAGAGGGTAAACAAAGATTTCAGTGTGGATTTTCTGCTGATTTGGTTTGGGGCTGTCCTCGTGTTTTCAAACTGGGAGTCAGAATCCTCCTGGGTGAAATGCAAGGCTGGAAATGAGTAAAATCCATCAAAAGAGAAGGAGATGCATGATTCCTAATGTATCTTTATAGTGTTTGCAATTTTTGTCTTCAGCCTCACAACAAGTTCTCACATTTCTGAATCCTTTTGACTCTGTGACAAATTTTTTGTTGCTAGATTTTTTAATTACAATTGTCCATCTGTTTTTGTCCACTTATCTGGGGCTGGTTTGTGTGGGTGGCAGCCCAAACAGAGAAGCCTAAACAATGCCCTCCTGCTGCCAACCTCGATACCCTCCAGCCCACAGTTAGAAACTATGTCCATAAAGGTAAAGAAAAGAACTGGAGTCCCCAGTTAGAGCTCCATCTATCCAGGCTCCATCAATACAATTTTTGCCTCCAGGCACTCGCACATGGGAACCCAATCCCAGAACTGGTTCCTGGGTGGGACCACGGCAACCAGGTACTCTGTTTTTACAATCATATAATGTTTTTTGAGCAGCACTTGTCTTTTACCCAGAACCATTTTGCCACAGGAGACTCTGTCTGGGGCAAAATGTCCCAGAAAGCCTACGTCCTATAGGATCATTAGGACACGCAAACTCCTCCACTATTGTAAGGCAGCGAATCAAAGAGGAGGCAAGTTTATCGGTGGCAGAGGAGTTACATGCCCGTCCAGAAACTGAAGGGTTGCAGATTCGAGCCCCGTCTGTTGTAGTCTTTGTGTCCTTGGGCAAGACAATTGACCTGCCTTGCCTGCAGGTGGTGGTCAGAGGGACTGGTGGCACTAGTGCTCAGCAGCCTCTCCTCAGTCAGCATGTCCCAGGGCAGCTGTAGCTACACTGTAGCTCAACACCATCAGTGTGTAAATGTGTGTATGTGCATTGGTGTATGACCTTGGCGGGGTTGTAAAACTGTATTGCACTGTATCAAGAAGAAGAAGAAGAAAATATCTTTTCTATAGCGCCTCTCAAGATAAAAAAATCATGAGGCGCTTCATGTAAAAATATAAAAAATAATTTAGAAAATGATTAAAAATATATTTAAAATGAGCAAAAAATAGACAATTGTGATTAAAAAATGTTAAGAAAGAGAGAGAGTGAATAGGAAAGACGGAAATCAATCAGTCAAACGCAGGCCATTACCATCAAGATTATCTAACAACACAAAACTCGCTAAAAAACACCCTCATTGTAACAGTCTACAGTTACTGTTGAGCAGTCTCAGCCCAGTGAGCTTCTGGTTTAACTGCTGAATAAAAACATCGAATCCACTCAGTTAAAGTGTGTTTGTGTTTCCTGCAGCAGGGCGTGGTAAAGGCATATCGGTGGAAGCCTTATGTGAACAAAGTGAGTGAGTGAAGTGGTGATTATGTTGTAGTTGGAGTAACTTCCTGTAGCTGAGTGACCCTCTCCCTTATCCGCTCCCTGATCAACATTAACCAGGCCTCTTTGGTCTTTAATGTTCCTGCTGGAGCTTAAATGTGGCCACAGCTGCTGTTGGTAAATGTAATTCTGTTTTTTAGTTTCTGTTGCATATCTGTTCTTTTTTTTCAACCTCATCCCTCTTTAGCAGGCCTTGTGAATAAAACAGAAGTTCAACATGAATTATAGAAACTGCTGTAACATATTTTTTCTCCACCACAAATTCTGATTTCACACAGATACAAAGGAACAATATCAAAATGCTTCCTTTAAAATATTACTTAGTTGTTTTCATGAATAACTTAATATTTAAGGGGAGGAATAATCATGCTTCTTATGAACAATTATTTAACTTTTTCTTATATTTTGTTAACTGTAGGTCAGAATCATCCTGCTAATACCAACTCAGCTGTTTCCATGTTTTTACTTTATATATATTTTTGGATTTCTAACATTTTCAGTGAAAAAGTAGACCAGGTTTTAATTTGGGTATCACATAATCATTCCCATCTGTTTAAACTGATTTATTTAATATTTTTCCACATGCTTGGGTGTTTTCAGCACTGATGAGAAAAGTCTCTGCAGGTCTGAAACCCAGACAGAACTGCATGTGATGAAGTCATGTTGGGAGCTTAATTATCCAGGTAGCCAGCCTGTCTCTGGTTAACATGCTAACACTTGTAGCTTGCTGCAAACATTTATTCAACGCATGCTAGCTTAAAAACAGTGATCGGCGGTGCAGCTGTACCAAGTAAGCTGTCACCATCTGTTTTGGTTAAATTTTTTACATGTCTTATGATTTTAGACAAGCCAGCTACTAACAAAACATGTGTTTAAATTCACCACAAGGAAGAACGTTTGTGTTTGGTATTTAAGTGAAATAAAGTCACATTCAAAATAAGGTAGAGTTCATAAGGAAGCTCCCTCTGAGTTTCACAAGCAGGCTTAACGTGATCATAGTTCTCTAGCCTTTTTAATTGGATTAGCAACAGATAGAAAATAGACGAGGAAACACTCGGATGAGAAAAGCCAGTCAACTTCACGTCATATTGCTAAATTAGCATTTATGGACTCACCCATTTTATGTCATGACGGGGAAGGCTGTTGTTGGTTTAGAGTTCAGGAGAGAGGAGAGAGTGACGCAGCTACTAGAAGCTAACCGTTAGCATTAGCAACTCCACCACACAGCATAACTCCTCCATGGTTGTGTTATTTGTGGAGATAAAACATCAGCGTTGCAAAACAGTAAGCGGTAGAGGTATGTTGCTATTAACCAATCAGAGAAGAGATGTCCACAAATCATGAATATTAATGAGAAAGACCCCAAATATTGCCGTTTCCTGCTTCCTCCTGCTCCGACTAACTTCTGCTCCCTGAAACAGGAGCGCCAGAGCTTTTTCCCCACAGACATGATTCACAAGGTAGTCATTTATACTAGAGATCACTGCAAATGTGTTGAAAATTATTGCTGCAGGGCTGTCAACCTTTGGTATTCTCCAGGTGTGAGAGCAGGGGGCTTTTGAATTTTCTGCCTTAGAACTTAGAGGCGTGGCATGAGGGCGTGTGAAGACAGTCACATGCGTGTGTCTCATGCTCAATGTGTGAGAGTTGACAACCTTGGCTCTGATTTGTAGAATGGATCACTTTTCATATTCAGGAGGCCAAAGATACACTTTCACTGTAACGTGTCATTACAAGAGTTGAAGGGATAATGGCTGTAATAAAACATATTGCCTAGAGTCATTGACATGTATGAGTATTTACATTAGGAACGTGCAGACTGAAGCTGTTAGAATGAAATGTGAAGCACAGCAGTGCTACTGTTAGCTTGTGTTGCTGTAATCACAGGTCCTGTTCTGTTACATGTGTCCTTGCTTATTTGCCGATCAGAAATAGGCTTCAGATGTGTCTTCCAAGCCCAGAGGCAATAAGCAAAGCATGTCTCATTCATGTTTTATTCAAAGTATGAATTAATAATAGAGCAAATCCTAGGCTGAGCTCCAGCTTTAGTCAGAGAAGGTACAGAACTAAATCCATAAAATGATGGTGATAAAGAGGAGGAATGAAAGTGTTTAAAACAAATATTAAAACCTGGAAGCAAAGTCTAATAAATGCTAATGAATGCATGAGTGAGGAAGATGATGCCGTTTTTATTGTTTTATTGCTCTGTAGACAGGGAGATACCCCTCTTACGTTGCTTCCATCCTGAACTAATCCTGTCTCTTAGCACCCTCTAGTGGCCTCACACATTAGTGATTCATTACATATTCCAACAATCTGCAGCTTCAGTATAAATAACATGTTTTAATGTATGTTCAGACCATGCTGCTGCGGAGGTCCTGGAAACGATCCACCAAGGTAAATCCTCATCATCTGTGTTTGCAGTCACAGTTTTCCATAAATTGTCCCAACCCCTTCATTGGCCTGCTGCAGCTGTTTGTGTTATTCATGTCTGCATTCCACAGCAGAGCTTCCATTTTGTCCATTTCATATGCTGTTGCAGCTCTCATCATCAAACCCTGTTCTCTAAAGCCTTGACACACATGATGTTATCGGGCCTGTAAAGTAGACCTCACCAAATGTGCAATTCTCATAGTTACCTTCAGTGTGTCTGATCACTGCAGAAGTCTTCAATCTAGAACTCAGTAGGGATGTTCTTTTTTTTACACCTAATGTATGAAAACACCGAGAACTCTGATTGCCAGGAAAACTTTATTATTTACCAAAAATTCAAAATCCAGTTTCATGGGCATTCACCAACCAGGACTCCTCTAACTAATCAGTTGGAGTTGAGCTGCCTGCTTGGCTCCATGATAACATCGGTGAATGTTGGATTTTTATCAAGTGCTGCTGAGTATATTAGCATGTCATCAGCATATAGATGCATGGAAAATATTATGGGTGCTGTGAACTGTGATGCTGGTGTCCTGGTGGCCTTGGCATTGCTGTTGAATGTTTCTTGTAGAAATGGGACAGCTCAGATTGAAATGAGCTTCGGGGAACTGATGTTCCAAACAGAAACGAAAGAGCAAATCTTTACGCTGCTCTTATATGTCAGTGCAAGTGATTTTAGTGTGCGTGCATGTGTGTGTTGATAGCAGCAGCAGTCGATGCGTCTCTCCGAGGTGCATCGGAAGGCTCAGCTCTGGAGAGGGATTGTCAGCATCGCGCTGATCGAAGGCCGAAACCTCATACCCATGGACCCCAATGGTCTGAGCGACCCATACGTTAAGTTCAGGCTGGGGCCACAGAAGTACAAGAGCAAGGTGGGTCAGCTGCTGTTAGCTCTAAAAGGACATGCTCAGGAAGGTGACTAGTTGAACTAGTGGAGGTGTTTTTGTGCAGACGGTGCCAAAGACCCTGAGTCCTCAGTGGAGGGAGCAGTTTGACCTGCATCTTTATGAGGAGACAGGAGGGGTGCTGGAGATCACGGTGTGGGACAAAGACACTGGCAGGAGAGACGACTTCATTGGACGGTGAGTTCCTTCAGTCTGGCTCCACCACAGGGTTCTGACCTTTGGTCCTGAGTGCTGACATGTATGTAAGGAAGTGTTGAGGTTTCTGCTTGGGTTACTTGTGGGTTGAGGACTTAGAAACAGCTGGCAGCTCACCAACTTACTGTTAGCTTTGGCTGCAATCCAGTTCAGAAATCCCTGAACAATTTAAAATGCTTACTGTTTTTCTGAGGAAACGGGCAGAATTACAGAAATTGAATGTAGACAGATGAATACTTTAGTTACACTTTAGTGGGTTTTATAACAAAGTTTACGAAAGAAAACCTGACATTTGCTTTATTTATTAATTGTTTTTTCACAAGTATTCTGAGTTGGTGACTGAACAGTTTCAGTAATAAAGTACATTTTATTTTTATAGCACTCATCACAGACAGAGAATCACAAAGTGCTTCACAAAGATCAAAACAAAATAAAACATAATGATTTCACTACAGAAATAGATTACCATCAGAAAATGATATCATAAACAAATGAAAGATGATTACAAATTTGAGTTAAAAATAAGAAAACTAAAGATTTCAGTACAAGCAGCTTTAAATAAAAAGGTCTTTAGCTGTTTTTTTAAAGTGTCCAGACTGTCAATGCCAGTTTTTATTTTAGTTACTGATTTGATAGAGCTGTAATCATTTAACACGCATAAACCCTTCATCCTAGAGCGCATACGAGCTTTAATAACTTTGATTTTGTCTTCAATAAGTTTCTCTCTAAACCTCCCCCTGTCTTAGGATGGTAAAGTGTTTATATTTCTGTGATTTTGTACATAAACTTTTGTAGAAGTGTACTTGCATATTGTGTCTGTTTTTGCCACCCAGCCACTCGAGAATGAGCACAGAGAGGAAAAATGATGTAAACATAACCTCCCTTCATGTTTTTTTCTCCGTCAGTTTCAAAAGGGTAAACCTACGTACAAAATACCCTGCGGTCAGCATACAGAAGCATGTGGTAACTTTCATAAAAAAAAACTGAAAAATCACCCCCCCCCCCCCCCCCTCCTTTTTTTCACAAATCACACACTGGTTACAACTGATAACCAAATGAAGTAAATACATGAAAAAACATGAGATGGTCCCAGTGGACTTAGCATGCTCCAGCTTTTAGCAATAAAGTGTTTTATAAGGAGTTTCCACTTAAACCTGATTGTTTAATTGAAATACTTGTCAAGCCTCAACGAACAGTGACTTTGCTTTAACACAAAGTCAAACACATTGAGCAAAACTCTTGTCGTTAACAAAACTCTCTAATATGTCAGTGATTGAGGTGAAAGTTGCAGACGTCCTGAAATCATTTAAAAACAGAAACAGGCATGAAAAATATCTCAGTCTGCCTTCAATGAGCAGCCTAAACCTTGTTACAGGAGCTGTGGTCATCAGCCGTGATTGGAATCCATGCTGCTTCCGCAAAGTCCCAAAAATCACTTAATCTAATGTGCTGTACACAGGCTGCGGTGCGGAGCAGATCCAGGTGTGGAGCAGCAGAATTTTTCTGCATGGTTTTATTTTGTTCTATTTTGCTGACGCTGTATGTGGATCATTATGAAGCGGGACAAATTACATATGAGCCAGACCAGAAGTGAGACGCGTTTCAGCGAGGTGCTTCCGGTCTATTTAAAAATTAAACTCATGCTTCATCATTCTTTTGGCTGCTTTTGGTGTTATTAATGGCAAGGATATGGGTTCACAGTGCATGACGGTACGAGGGCACCAGTGTGCCTTTTGCGTACCAACTCCTTTCTACACACCTAGCTGGTATTGCGTGAACTCATGAGCAACTTTCCAAAGATGTAAATGAGGGGTAATCGAGACATGTTGGAAATGATCATGCTCTGAGTCATGGTGGTGTTTTATATTTTATTCTTCATGACTCCCAGCTGGACCTGAGCAAACTCCCCTGTGACGGCACATAACACCTGCTGCGCCGCTTCCTCTCTGGTAGCTCTGACAGAGGACCAGCTCAGTGGCCTGGTGGCATGAGTGTCCGCCCTGGGACTGAGAGATCGTGGGCTCAAATTCACGGTCGGTCATACCAAAGACTTTAAAAATGGAAACCATTGCCTCCCTGCTGGACACTCAGTATTAAGGGGTTGGATTAAACCACCAAAGAGTTACTGAGCTGTCCACGTCTGCAGCTCACCGCTCCCCCAGAAGATGGGGCAAATACGGAGAACAAATTTCATTAGTGTGTGACGCCTAATTGGACTTTAACTTAAGACACCGGCTGTGCTGACAGGTCTTTTAGCTCCTAGCTGACCTATTAATGTTGATGTGAAACTGGATAAGTGAAACGTGTCATCATTGTATCATACATGCACCAGGACCAGACCAGGTGCCTATCTAAACTTTGCAGTTTATTGAGAATAAAGCATTTTTGTACATAGCAACACACTGGATGGGTCCAAGTTGACTCTCTGTTTGGACTCAAGGTCGGACTGTAAATGGCTTAAGGCTTTGACTACGTCAGCATAGTCCAGTGGTATAAATACATTCTGTATGGAAACGCTTCACGCTGGCTTTTCTCTAAAGTCACATTGCTCAGTTTGTTCACCTCTGGGATTTTAACTTTCATGTTTAGAAACTGAACAACTCTCATGGAGGAAGAATGCAGTTATTCCAAACTGTGATTATTTCCAGCTCACTTTTGACCGATGAGCTCAGATCAGTCGTGTTTGTGTTCCAGCTGCCAGCTAGACCTCTCCACTCTGGTCAAAGAGAAGACCCATCACTTGGAGCTGCCGCTGGAGGGTGCCCGAGGCTTTGTGGTTGTGCTGGTCACACTGACCGCCTCGGCTGCGGTCTCCATCTCTGACCTGTCCGTCACACCGCTGGGTGACCCACTAGAGCGTCAGCAGATCAACAAACGATATGTAAGCACCAGTCTGAGTTTTGTTCAGGTGGAATATCAGCTAAATGATCAACTTTACCTGCTGTGCCACAGGGTGTGAGCAAGTCATTCTTTAACTTAAAAGACGTGGGCATCGTGCAGGTGAAGGTGCTGAGAGCAGAAGGACTCATGGCAGCTGATGTAACTGGTAATAATCCGATTCCTCCCTCTTCTTCCTCGTGGTGTCTTGTTAAGTTTTAGATTTTCTGAGGTTTAAAACATAAAACTGTTCAAACCATTAACCTGGTTGGTCTTTTAGGTAAAAGTGATCCGTTCTGTGTGCTGGAGCTGAATAACGATAGGCTGCAGACACACACTGTTTACAAGAACCTCAATCCAGAGTGGAACAAAGTCTTCACCTTGTGAGTCTTCGTTGGTCAGTGTACCCCTGGCTGATCCGTTCAAACAGCTGGCTGCTAAGTAATAACGCAACACAACAAGAATACGAACTAGCTTGTGTTGTCACTTTTAAAGGTGTTTTATTAAAATTCTTTCTTTTTTAACTTCTGGAGATCATCTCATCGGCCCAAACGTAGTTTCTGGTTGTGACTCCAACTTCAGGAAGCACTGCTCTAGACACCTTGACTATTTTAAGACAGAAATGTAGTTATCAAAATTTTCTAATTTGTTTAAAATTCCATCACCATGAGATGATGATTTGATCTAGCCGTGATCTTTGAGATCCAACATCAGTTTCAAACCCCATATTAGAACAGGTTCATTAGAGGTACTTGTCTTCTCTGTCCTCAGTAATGTGAAAGACATTCACTCTGTCCTGGAGGTGACGGTGTTTGATGAAGACAGAGACAGAAGTGCAGACTTCCTGGGAAAAGTGGCCATTCCGCTATTAAATGTGAGTGTCAACCATATGTAGAGTCCCGACATCCAAAACACAGTGAATGCATCATTATGTGACGTTTCAGGAAGGTCTCAGCTTTGAGGCAAAGTGGGTGGATTCTTGTATGCTGATGTTCTCCTTTGTCACCTGTTTGGGAGGAGTTCAGGATAAAGTCGTTACTCCTCTTCATCAAAGGAGCCCGTTGATGTAATTTAGTCATTTGTTACGGATGCCGTCTGGATGCTGTTCAAAGAAAGTGTATTAGACATGCACCGTCAGAAAGAACGTGTCAGGGCAGACTCAGGACTTGCTGGAGAGAATAACGGCAGACACTTGGACACCGTGGAGTCCCTCTGTGTGAGCTGGAGGAGATACACAGGGAAGGAAGGAGGTCTGGGAACATCTACTTATGTGGTCTCCTCTGTGAATTGGTTGTGGACAAGCAGCAGAAGATTTTTACTATCTATTCATCCATTCCGCTTATCCAGAGACAGGTCGTAGGGGCAGCAGCCAAAGCATGGAGGCCCAGACTTCCACCTCCCCAGCCACTTGAGCTAGCTTCTCCAGGGGGATCCCAAGGCATTCCCTGGCTTGCTGAGAAACATAAACCTTCCATTGTGTCCTTGGTTTTCCTTTGGGTCTCTCACACAGAGAGGCATCCAGGAGGCATCCTAATCAGATGCCCGAGCCACTCCCAGCCCCTCCTGGATGACTGAACTATCTCTAAGGGAGAGCCCAGACTCCCTGCGGAGAAAACTCATTTTGGCCGCTTGTATCCACGATCTCGTTCTTTCGGTCACTACCCAAAGCTCGTGACCATAGGTGAGGGGAGGAACGTAGATCGACTGGTAAATCAAGAGTTTGGTCTTCCTGCTCAGCTCTCTCTTCACCACGACAGATCGGTACAACGCCTGCATCACTGCAGATGCAGCACAAATCCGCCTGTTGATCCTATTCTCCATCTTTCCCTCACTTGTGAACAAGACCCCAAGTTAAACTCCTCCACTTGGGGCAGGGCCTCATCCCAAGCCTGCAGAAGTCATTTTACCCTTTTTCAACTCAAGACCATGGTCTCGGATTTAGAGGAGCGGATTCTCATCCCAGCTACTTCACACTCGGCTGCGAACCGCTCCAGTGAAAGCTGATGAAGCCAACAGGACCACATCTTCTGCAACAAGCATAGACCTGATCCTTAAGATTTTTACTGTATAAACACAAATCATTTTATGTCCGAATGTGGATGATCTTTATGTCTGAATGAGTAGTTATTGTGTGAACAGTACGGGACAGTTCGGACCGTCTGGATCCTGTAAGCTAGTCTGACTCTTGTGTTTAAGGTCCATAATGGTGAGCAGAGGGCGTACCTCCTGAAGAACAAGGACCTGACAGGACCCACCAAAGGACACATCTACCTGGATATCGAAGTCATTTACAACACCGTGAGTGTAACACTGTACACCGAACAGGTGTGAAGGAAATTGTTTAATGCAGAAACGGAGCAGAGTGGAGGAGTGCGTGAGGTTCCCAGACTAGTGAGGATCATCTCAATCCTCTTGTCGCTCTGATTGATTCTGTTGGGTTTTATGATGGTGATCTGAGCTTGAAAGCATTTTTCAGAACAAAGTTGTGACCCCAGTCCTTCATGTGTGGTTCACCTCAGGTAAAAGCTGCTTTGAAGACAATTGTCCCTGCTGAGAGAAAATACTTAGAGGAAGAACCAAAAGTCTCCAAGCAGGTGCATACTATTCTCATTTACAGCTTCTCCTTTTCACTTTGAAACTTCTGATCTCTTCACAATTAAAACAAACTAAATGTATTTATGATTTAATATTGGATCTTAGTGAAACAGTTTTCCTTCAAATTAAACAGCTGAAAACACAGAAATGGCAACATTCATGAGAGCTAATAGACTTCATTATGTGAAAATAAAATAAGCTGAACTGCGGTAATATTAATATAACCGTCTCTCAGACCAAAGGCTGAGTTGTTTATGATAAATACCCAAAGGTATTAGGGTAACAAACTCCAACGTCTGAAAAGGGTTTCAAACGTTTCCTAGCGTGAGCTGCAGTAACTCGCTCTGACGTTACCGAACTTTTGAACATGATTGAAAAAAGAATTCTGTCTCTTCTCAATTTAGACAGAAGGCGGAGATAGTGAAAAAAAAACACTGAGACGGGATGGTGGTCACATAATGACTAAATAAGGGTAAAATGCAAACTGAGGTATAATTAAAGGTAGAATATGGAACACGAACACCAAAGCAACACCTAGTGTGTGGAGGTTGTAGTTGCAACAACTGAAGAAGGTTTCCAGCCGTCGGGATATCAGGTTTGCTGCTGATTTGTGAAATGTTTTATTTGGATCCATCTGTTGTAGGCTTCACTTAAACTCACTCTGGTTTTAGATCTTTTGTGGTCGCTCCTTTTCTGAAGATAACGACACCTTCTAGGCTCAGAAGCAGCTGCTTGGCTTGACGAGTCGGCCACTGAGTGCCAGTCTCGCTGTGCCAGCAGACTGTGTAGCAACCCGCAATGGTGCATTATTATTGGCTGGTAGATATAAAAATAAACTCTGTGTCATGCCCTTCAAATTAAATATTTAATTATTTTTATTAAAATAAAACTTACTGCACCGTCATTCTGCACACTTCTAAGTGCCCTGTGGAGGTATTATTTTAAAAATATATCTTTTTGATAAATTATTTCATATTCAAACTTTAACACTTTATGACTAAATCAAACTTAAAACTAAAGTATTGTCCACACCGGAAATGGAAACAATACCAAGAGGAAAGGTGGGACTCTTCTAACTTACAGGTGCTGGCCAGTAAATTAGAATATCATCAAAAGGTTGAAAATATTTCAGTAATTCCATTCAAAACGTGAAACTTGTACATTATATTCATGCAATGCACACAGACCAATGTATTTCCGATGTTTATTACATTTAAATTTGATATTTATAGGTGACAACCAATGAAAACATCAAATCTGGTATCTCAGAAAATTAGAATATTCTAAAGGCCAATGAAAAAATGTTTGTTTCTCTAATGTTGGCCAACTGAAAAGAATGAACATGAAAAGAATGTGCATGTATAGCACTCAATACTTAGTCGGGGCTCCTTTTGCCTCAATAACTGCAGTAATGCGGCGTGGCATGGACTCGATCAGTCTGTGGCACTGCTCAGGTGTTATGAGAGCCCAGGCTGCTCTGATAGTCGTCTTCAGCTCCTCTGCATTGTTGGGTCTAGCGTATTGCATCCTCCGCTTCACAATACCCCATAGATTTTCTATGGGGTTAAGGTCAGGCGAGTTTGCTGGCCAATCAAGGACAGGGATACCATGGTCCTTGAACCAGGTGCTGGTGGTTTTGGCACTGTGTGCAGGTGCCAAGTCCTGTTGAAAGGTGAAGTCTGCATCCCCATAAAGTTGGTCAGCAGCAGGAAGCATGAAGTGCTCTAAAACTTCCTGGTAGACGGCTGCATTGACCCTGGACCTCAGGAAACAGAGTGGGCCAACACCGGCAGATGACATGGCACCCCACACCATCACTGACGGTGGAAACTTTACACTGGACCTCATGCAACGTGGATTCTGTGCTTCTCCGCTCTTCCTCCAGACTCTGGGTCCTTGATTTCCAAAGGAAATGCAGAACTTGCTTTCATCAGAAAACATAACTTTGGACCACTCAGCATCAGTCCAGTCCTTTTTGTCCTTGGCCCAGGCGAGACGCTTCTTGCGCTGTTTCTTGTTCAAGAGTGGCTTGACACACGGAATGCGACACCTGAATCCCATGTCTTTCATGAGTCTCCTCGTGGTGGTTCTTGAAGCGCTGACTCCAGCTGCAGTCCACTCTTTGTGGATCTCCCCCACATTTTTGAATGGGTTTGTCGTCACAATTCTCTGCAAGGTGCGGTTATCCCTAGAGCTTGTACACTTTTTTCTACCACATTTTTTCCGTCCCTTCGCCTGTCTGTTAATGTGCTTGGACACAGAGCTCTGCGAACAGCCAGCTTCTTTAGCAATCACCTTTTGTGTCTTGCCCTCCTTGTGCAAGGTGTCAATGATTGTCTTTTGGACATTTGTTAAGTCAGAAGTCTTCCCCATGATTGTGGTGCCTTCAAAACAAGACTGAGGGACCTTTTAAAGGCCTTTGCAGGTGTTTTGAGTAAATCAGCTGATTAGAGTGGCAGCAGGTGTCTTCTATATTCAGCCTTTTCAGAATATTCTAATTTTTTGAGATACCAAATTTGGAGTTTTCATTAGTTGTCACTTATGAATATCAAATTTAAATGTAATGAACATTGGAAATACATTGGTCTGTGTGCATTGCATGAATATAATGTACATGTTTCACGTTTTGAATGGAATTACTGAAATATTTTCAACCTTTTGATGATATTCTAATTTACTGGCCAGCACCTGTATTTTAGGCTTTAAGTGCAAGAATAGATTTAAGTTTACAATGTACAAAAAACTGATTTTGCCTTCATTAAAATAATCAAAGGAAATACAAACATCTCCACTTTTTACACTAAACCGACAAACGTATATACCTTTGGTTGTTTTTCCACTAAGTAAATCTGTTGCTTCCAGTTGCTGCAGCAGAACTTTAACCGGGTGAAGCGGTGCATCATGGTCCTCTACAGCTACGTCACCTACATCAACAGCTGCTTTGAGTGGGAGTCTGCACAGAGGAGCATCATCTCCTTTATTGTATGAGAACCACACACTCTTCTTGTGTTGTTTGTGCCGTTCTACCAACTCTGACTGTTCTCCACACACAGCTGTTTGTACTGGTGGTGTGGAACTTCGAGCTCTACATGCTGCCGCTGGCTTTGGTTCTGCTGCTGGTCTGGAACTATGTCTTCTCATCGAGCAGAGGAATGACTGACATGGTGAGAAAACAAGATGTTTTGATGTTTGTTTTCTCCTGAAACATTTAAGTGACCAGTGCTCTGCTCTGTGCTGCAGTCTATGGAAGCCATGTTTGAATGGGAGGATGAAGAGGAGGACAAAGAAGACAAGGTACTGGACTGTGGTGACCATAATACTGTCACTGAACACAGAACTTCACAGAAAACCTAATGAAAACAAATATAAAAGCTTGTTTCATTTATGGTTGTTGCCTAAAGAAAAAGCCACTTTCTGTGAATTTGATCCAAAACATCTTGATTGCAGGCTCCCTCTTGGCTTTTTATTTTAAAGTGGAAAGCACACAGAGTCATCTTACCTGTGGGAGGGTTTAGCATGTAGTTGTGATCCATTTGATTTGTGTCAGAGGCGTTCATCCTTTTTTGTTGTTAGAAAGATTTGTTTCAGGCAAAAAGGCTTTAAAAAAATCCCTTTTCAGATAAACTGAACACTTTCAAGAACCCAAGATAAGACACGATGCTTCTTGATGAACTGTATAAAAAGAGTAATCAACATTTAAAAATGTTAAAGCTGCTGCCAATGGCTCATTAGGGTCACCGTGGGTCACTGGCAAGCAGAAACAAGCCTCAACAAACAGTCTTTGCCATAAAACTAAAAGAATCTCACTTCTGAACATTTTAAAGCTGGATTTTTCGTCAGGGTTTTAAAAAAACGGAATCTTGTTGTGACGTTTCACTTTATCTGGACTCTCCTCTTGTCAGGACTCAGAGCCCAAAGGCTTCATGGATAAACTGTACGCCATCCAGGACGTGTTCATCAGCGTTCAGAGCGCCCTGGATGAGGTGGCGTCATTTGGAGAGAGGATGAAGAAGTAGGAGACGTGATCACACATGGATGTTCTGCTCACTTTGTATTTTAATTGAATTATAAAAATCCCAAAGATTTCATAATCCTGCATGATTTAACAGTCAATGTGCTACAAAGCCTGAAGCAGCTGAAGGAGTGCAGTGGTGAATAAGCAGGCGGAGAAGGATGAACTTCCTGTATTTTATCTGTTTGTCTTTCTGCTGCAGCACCTTTAACTGGACAGTGCCTTTTCTCAGCTGGCTGGCGATCACCGCCTTCTGTTTGGTCACTCTGCTTCTCTACCTCATACCTCTACGGTACCTCGTGCTCGCATGGGGTGAGTTCTGATTTCCACAGGTTTTTGTGAGTTTTGTCCTATGCATGGTGCCCAAAGTCAAATTGAGGATAATTCTTTTGTTATCTGTTTAAAAACAGCTCCAGTCCCCCTAATGTTCACAGAAGTGCACATGCTTATGAAATAGCAACACATGACCTGGAGTCAATCTTAAGCTGGGCGTACACTGTGCGACTTTTTCACTCGTAGCACTCAGTTTCAGCTCAAACTGTACGACTTCATCGCAGGGCAGATCTCACGAGTCATGTGCTCACACTGTACGTCTGGTAGCAACACGTCGGCCCTAAAAATATGCTAAAAATAGCAGTTTTTACTCAACACGTCAGACTTTTTTGTTTTGTTTTGCCTGTTGTCCTTCGGGAGTGCTGCAGGAGGACACACAGGGATTTATGGGGGTTGCATGAGGAAAACTAAATAAAGAAAGTAAATCTGTGTTTTGTGATCAGTTCAATTTGACATGAACATGACAAACACGCTTTCTTGACAATCTTTGTGAGTAAAAAAAACGTGTAGAAATAAAAACGAACAACATGTGTTATTATTGTGGTGTTGATGCAGGATTGCGCATGCGCCGTGAGCGGTTCTGATACTTTTTGGGTCGCAGCTGCTCGCAGCACCGCTTCAACAGTGCGATGCCCTCACAAGGGACGAGCAAAATATTAAACACGCCAGAAGTCCGTGTGAGCTCACGATTGCTGATCGGTAGCTGGTCATGTGGTGTTAATCGCCTCTCATAACCCCCTGTATACTACACGACGCTCAGCGCGAAACTCGCCCCGATCTCGTGGATTCTTGCACGAGTGGAAAATGGGCTCAAAAAAGTGAAAAAGTCGCATAGTGTACGCCCGGCTTTAGTAGACTGGAGCCGTACGCCAGCAGCAATTCACTTTGGGTTTTCTTTCAATAAATGAGATTTTATTTCAGGAAGCTACGACAGATAATTGTTATTTATAACTGTTATACAGAAACAAAATAAAATGTCTGAACGATACCTCTGAGTTTTGCACCATGCTTTAAATCATCTACTTAAACAAACATTACAGATATGAAGCTGAACGAGAGAAAAAAAATCCACCACGCCTTTTTGCTTTACAGCCTTATAGGGAAACTTTCCAACTTTTTTATGTGATTTTCTTTAGCCAGTATCTGCTAAAATGACTCTTTACTGGGTAATGAATGGCCGCCCAGCCTCTATCGCCCCCTGTGGCCAGAATATCCCACTTACAACTTCAGACAAGTGGGCCACTCTGTTGGGACTTGGAAAAAATGGAGCTGACATACCTGGTGCTGAAGTCTGGTTCCAGCACATTTCCTTTATGTTTTAGATCATAAACACAACTGATTTGTTTAATTGAGTGATGAACCGCTCCTGTAGACACTAATGAAGGATAGGAGACATTTCAGCTGTTAGGTTATGGTGTTAAAAAGATGAATGCACAGCGAGGAGATAAGTTTTGCTTTTGGTTCTACAAACGGGCACTGGGGGTGCTAAAGGCAAGCCAAAACTGCAGAGTTACCCTTTAAATGATAAAAAACAAAAAATATTTTACCTGCTTTACTTTACAGGGGTAGAAGGCCGTTTTTATTTTCAGCATGCATGTGAAACTCAGAGTGCCCGATAGCATTTCAGGTGTTCTGCATTTTCGATGTTCAAGCACCATTGTTTGGTTCTGCAGGTGTGAATAAGTTCACCAAGAAGCTTCGAGATCCCTACATGATCGACAACAATGAGCTTCTTGACTTCCTGTCCAGAGTGCCGTCTGACGTCCAGGTGGTGGGTAGAATACCTGAACTGTGACTCGTTTATTTACTCGGTCCTCTGATTTAAAAAAGTAAAAGGGAAGAGCAGATTATAATAGTGTTTGATTAGATGATGATGCAGCTTCATCTTTTCTCTTACCATCTCTGATGATGGACAGATGCAGTATCGTGAGCTGAAGATGGATCCCGGACAAAGCCCCAACAAACGCAGGCGAGCCAACCAGAGCTAGCTGTAAACATTTACCTGTAAACTATGTAAACTATCTTACATGCTGTATTTCTTGTATATTTTGAAGAGTTACTTTATTTTCTGTTGCTTTTTTGTGGACAGACTGATTTATTTTCTAAAACTTTCAAAGAAGGAAAGAGCATGATATTTTTTAACTGTTTTATTTCTTGTATAAACTCAGACTACACTCATTTTAGGATAACGAGTGTGATGAATGTAACACGTGATGTCTGCATGTTGCATGGAACTGGAGCATCTCTAGGTCAAGGCTTTTATTTACTTTCAACTATTTTGTGCTTTTTCAACTGGATGTGATGTTTGTGTCTCACTATTTTTATAAACAAGGCTGCATGGTAACTCTGTCGATATGGTGGCACAACGCGCACACACAGACACACACACACACATAACTCTGCCTGCTAGAGTTACATTCTGTTTCTTTATATTCTTTGTGGCTAAAAAAAGCATCAGTTTGATCAGAGGAACAAATCATAGAGACGATCCACGTATAAATCAGACTTTATAGGGGAAATTTTACTTTTATAGAAGTACAAAACCCTCCAGTTATAGAGCTGTTCATTTTACAGACTTTTACAATATCAGAACAGGAAATTGTAATTTGTTTGTTTATATTTTTCTTACCAGTTAAAAATTGTGAAAACCATTTTACCATAATACCACATTTCTTTTATTGGATGAATTAAATATTAGCAAAATATACAATAAAAGCCCTTAATTTAATGCATTTAGCATTCAGATGTTCAGACAGTTAACATTTTTAGAGAATAAACCAAAGAAAATTGGCTCCATTTAAATCAGACCTGCACCAAGAATCACATTAGCTCCAAATATTTCTTTTTGTCTATTCCCTTTACATGTTGATTATTTTATCTCTGTCAAAGTAGCTGTATATATACACTCAACAAAAATATAAACGCAACACCTTTGTTTCTGCTTCGATTTTCCATGAGATGGACTTAAAGATCTAAAATTCATTCCAGATACACAATATTACCATTTCTCTCAAACATTGTTCACAAATCAGTCTAAATGTGTGATAGTGAGCACCTGTGCTTTACTGAGATAATCCATCCCACCTCTCAGGTGTGCCACATCAAGATGCTGATCCAACATCATGAGTAGTGCACAGGTGTACCTTATACTGCCCACAATAAAAGGCCACCCTGGAATGTGCAGTTTTTGCTTTATTGGGGGTCTGGGGACTCAGAACTGGTCAGTATCTGGTGTGACCACCATTTGCCTCATGCAGTGCAACACATCTTCTTCGCATAGAGTTTATCAGATTGTCAATTGTGACCTGTGGAATGTTGGTCCACTCCTCTTCAATGGCTGTGTGAAGTTGTTGGATATTAGTGGGAACTGGTGCACACTGTCGTATACGCCGGTCAAGCACATCCCAAACATGCTCAACGGGTGACATGTCCGGTGAGTATGCTGGCCATGCAAGAACTGCGACATTTTCAGCTTCCTAGAATTGTGTACAGATCCTTGCAACATGGGACCATGCATAATCTTGCTGAAACATGAGGTGATGTTCATGGATGTACGGCACAACAATGGGCCTCAGGATCTCATCACGGTATCTCTGTGCATTCAAAAGGCCATCAATAAAATGCACCTGTGTTCTTCGTCCATAACAGATGCCTGCCCATACCATAACCCCACCACCACCATGGGCCACTCGATCCACAACATTGGCATCAGCAAAGCACTCATCCACACGACGCCACACACGCTGTCTGCCATCTGCCCTGAATAATGTAAACCGAGATTCATCCGTGAAGAGAACAACTCTCCAACGTACCAGATGCCATATAATGTGAGCATCTGCCCACTCAAATCTGTTACAGCGACGAGCTGGAGTCAGGTCAAGACCCCGATGAGGACGACGAGCATGCAGTTGAGCTTCCCTGAGATGGTTTCTGACAGTTTGTGCAGATATTGTTTGGTTATGCAAACCAATTGTTTCAGCAGCTGTCTGAGTGGCTGGTCGCAGACGATCTTGGAGGTGAACATGCTGGATGTGGAGGTCCTGGGCTGGTGTGGTTACACGTCGTCTGCGGTTGTGAGGCCGGTTGGATGTACTGCCATATTCTCTGAAACACCTTTGGAGATGGCTTATGGTGGAGAAAGGAACATTCAATGTATGAGCAACAGATCTGGTTGACATTCCTGCTGTCAGCATGCCAATTGCACGCTCCCTCAATGCTTGTGTCATCTGTGGCATTTTGCTGTGAGACAAAACTGCACATTCCAGGGTGGCCTTTTATTGTGGGCAGTATGAGGTACACCTGTGCACTACTCATGATGTCAGATCAGCTTCTTGATGTGGCACACCTGTGAGGTGGGATGGATTATCTCAGCAAAGCATAGGTGCTCACTATCACACATTTAGACTGATTTGTGAACAATGTTTGAGAGAAATGGTAATATTGTGTATCTGGAATGAATTTTAGATCTTTAAGTCCATCTCATGAAAAATCGGAGCAGAAACAAAGGTGTTGTGTTTATATTTTTGTTGAGTGTATGTATATACATATATGTGTGTATCAAAGTAAAGCAGGTAAAAGATGTGTGTGTGTATATATATATATATATATATATACATACATACATATGTATATGTATATATATATATATATATATACATATATATGTATATGTATATCTGTACATATATATATATATATATAGCGAGAGAGAGAGAGAGAGAGAGAGAGAGAGAGAGAGAGAGAGAGAGAGAGAGAGAGCCTCAGCAGCCCCAGAGCCATGCCAATCGCTGCTCTCTAATAATTTGATGGGCCAATCACAGCTCTCTATCGGTTTTGGTGGACGGGATGTTACTGCGACTGAGCAATGGCAGCAACTCGTTTGAAATAGTTGCATCAACTTTGGATTATTTAGACATGTACTTTTCTTTTAGTCGAGAGCAGATAGAGGTACTTAAGTCCTTTATTTTAAAAAAGGATGTATTTGAGACTTCTACAACGGTGTATGGCGGATTGCCTCATTGACTGTGAGTATGTCACGTTGTCCAATAGCATGACTTGCCAGGCTACATCTTTAATATTTTAAATTTAACTTAAGCTGACAAAACTTAAATCAGTCAAAGTAAAATGTAGACTAAAGTGAGTTAAGCTGAGTTAGCCAAACATTTTAACAGTGTACAATATAACCTACAGATACACACAGGGAGAACAGTGACATGCCAGGAGTGAACATTTCTGCCATTTAGCTGGGAGAGGATTCCCTACAAAACATTTTTTAAACATAAAAAATAAACTTTAATTATATTTTCTCAATTTTTTGAAAGGATAATACATTTTTAATAATCTGTAATCTGAGTCTCTGAGGATGGGGAGGACCAAATATGAAAAACTGCCATTGAAGTGCTGATCTAATGCTGCCGTATGTGAACCCAAACATGGAGATGTTTAGCACAACTAATTATTACTTGTATAAATGAATCTACTCATATGGAGCATAGTCTTTTAACGTATTAATTTTGTCATGGTAAATCTAACATTATTCTAGCCATTCCAGTATTTTTATTTCCATTATTTCATTTTTATTAACTTAACTTTTCTGTGACTTCCAGCAACTCTTTTGCTTGATTAGAGACTGGGCTAAACATTTCTATGACCGTTTATCAGAGATGCTTCGTCCTGCATGTCTTTGGAAGCAGATGTTTGTCTTTTGCATGACTGAAAATGAAATATCCAAGTGCTTTTACTGAGTCTGAAAGTGTGTACTGTTGATAATTGTCTCTAGTGAATCCTCACTTCTGTCAGTTTTATGTCCAGACAGACTGTGATGACTGTATTGTTTATAAGAAAATATATTTCTACCCAATTATTGTGTTTTTCTGTGTTTGATTTGATCACAAGAGAAATACAGATTTCACAGAAACATGCATGTGTTTTCAGGGGTTGATTCAGTAGAGCAAGTTAACAGATCATTGATCAACACTATAGTTCATGTCTATTTTCACATTAATTTGGTTTAGACACTGTCACTGCCACTCTCACGACCCAAAGAATCATGACTCCACCAAAACTGGATGAAATGTGGTGAAATCTGACTGAAATTAAGTACAACTGTGGACCTTATTTCCATGTTATAAGTAAACAGTAGATCTGTGATTTGGCTCCACTGTACAGGTTTCCATTTTAGTGAGTTGAATTTCTTTTGAGTATAAACAAAAATCCCAGTTACTCACACAAATAATAACCCTGTTTAAAGAGAACCTGGGAAGTCATTTAATGACAAAAAATACAAAAGAAAATAGGGAATGCATCCATCTTGACCTGTGCAATAGAAACATCGACCAGAACACTGTGGTCATGGATGCAGACCACAAATTGCTGCTTTCAAGTTGAGTGTCACCTCTTTAACCAGCAGAGGGCCTCAGATGTCTAACTTCTGTTGAGTCTGAAGCAGGAAATGGTGCAAAAAACAATGCAGAGATCTAACTATACCACACCCTTTCTCCTACCCCTCTGCCCTTAAAATTATATATATATATATGTGTGTGTGTGTGTGTGTGTGTGTGTGTGTGTGTGTGTGTGTGTGTGTGTGTGTGTGTGTGTGTGTGTGTGTGTGTGTGTGTGTGTGTGAGTACCAGAGAATGCTGCTGTTGTGTCCTTGGGCAAGACTCTTAACCTGTCTTGCCTACTGGTGGTGGTCAGAGGGACCGGTGGTGCCAGTGTTCAGCAGGGCTCACCTCTGTCAGTGCACCCCAGGGCAGCTGTGGCTACATCGTAGCTCATCATCATCAGTGAGTGAATGGCTGATCGTGTTGGAAAGCACCTTGGCGGATTGTATAACCCTAAGAAGGTGCTATACAAATACAGGCCATTACAAGTGAGTGGTGCTTGTTGTTTTCAGTAATTTCAGAGTATTCAATTTAAGAGGTCATGCTAATAAACACGAGAACAGCCTGCAGCCCACCCTCAGTCACCCTTTGTCCAGTTTGTCCACATTCTTTCATAATAATAAAATTGGTTTTCTTCAAACTGTTTTATCTGTAACTGAGTCATGATTGTCTTCTGAGGGCTCCATTCATTCTGTTTAGTGGTCCATGAAACATTTTGCTAACATTCATATGAAATAAGGATCTGGGCATAAAAAACTGACTGTACATGTGCAAACAACAGCAAGGATGTAAATACTTGCTAATTTGTTCAGAGAAGTGGTGTTACAAGGTCTTACAGCTGCAGAGAGGAAGGATCTTAATGCGTGTGCACCTATGTAGTAGTCGTTTGCTGAAAGAGTTCACATGGGGTCATGCAAGGAGTGGGACATGTTGTGAATGATGTTATTTTAGAGAGTCCTTCTATCTCTCCACCTCGACTGGATCGAGGGCATTTGAGGACTGAGCTGGCCTTCCTGATGAGCTTATCTAACCACTTCCTCTCAGCTGTAGATAAGCTGTGAAGAAGGCTGATGCCACCACAGTTTAAAAAAGGGCTTTGAGAGCGCCCCCAGCACCCTAAAAGGTAGCTTCTGTTCTGACCATTTCTGTAAAGATCAGCGTTGTGACTTCAGTCTGACTGTTCAGGTGAACACCCAGGTATTTGTAAATGTCCACTACCTCATTGTCTGTTCCCTGGAAGTTCACCGGTGTCATTGTGCTGCCACAACTGACACCACTCCACAAAGTCCTGTGGCCCATGCCTGTACCCTGAAAAGGCTAACACAGAGTCATTAGAGAACTTCTGAAGATGGCTGCCTGCAGGTGTTGATGGAGATGTTTGTGGTGAAGAGGGTGGGAAAGGGATGATGTCAAACCAAAGATCGTGATCTGGTCATTGAACACCACACTTCACATTTCACAGCTGCTCTTGTCCTCTGAATGGATTAAGTTATGCTGTACTTAGAATAAAACATTTAGTTTCATTAATATCCATTGATGGTTTTTGATGCTGATCAGTGAAATCTCTCACTGCCCAAGCAGTTGCGATATGTTGATGTATGTGCAAAGTCT